TTTATTTTAGGGATTTGCACATCATTGGTTTAAGATAGCTTTCTGCAATTTGTCTTATATGAAACAAGGATAAACACTTAAGACACTATCTTGATATAAATATATTTACATTCAAGAAAACAGGAGAGGTGGAAAGGAAAAGCTCCTTGTTTTATTTTTTTTTATTTTTATTTTTTTAATGTTTTTTTTTTTTTTAATTTATTCATGAGAGTCAGAGAGAGAGAGAGAGAGAGGCAGAGGCAGAGGGAGAAGCAGGCTCCCCGCCTAGCAGGGAGCCCGATGCGGGACTCGATCCCAGGACCCCGGGATCATGACCTGAGCCGAAGGCAGACGCTTAACCATCTGAGCCACCCAGGCGCCCCTCCTTGTTTTATTTTTTCCAGTGATTTCCCTCAATAAGCTAACTGGCTCATCTTTGGCAAATTAAAAGATTAAGCAAACGTAAAAAGAGTTCTTATAATCTGAGTTCTTGGAAGAAATAGCAGGGGAGACTTACAAGTTTTAAAAAACCCCACATCGGGCACCTGGGTGGCTCAGTTGGTTAAGCGACTGCCTTCGGCTCAGGTCATGATCCTGGAGTCCCGGGATCGAGTCCCGCATCGGGCTCCCTGCTCAGCGGGGGGTCTGCTTCTCCCTCTGACCCTCCCCCCTCTCATGCTCTCTCTATCTCAGTCTCTCTCTCAAATAAATAAATAAAATCTTAAAAAAAAATAAAAATAAAAAATAAAAAACCCCACATCAACAAATGGTCTTTACATAAAGTTAATAGCAGGCTGAAATTTCCTAAAAATAAACCTCTTTTATATATGTATAGATACAAAGTCCCACCATTGAACTTCTACCAGTAGGCAAAAAGTTTCATTTTAATTTTTAAAATTTTTAATTTCTTTTTTTAAGATTTTAGGGTTTTTTTGTTCTTATTTTTTTTTTTAAGATTTTATTTATTTATTTATTTATTTATTTATTTATTTATTTATTTATTTGACAGGGGATGGGGGGGAACACAAGCAGGGGGAGTGGGAGAGGGAGAAGCAGACTTCCTGCTGAGCAGAGAGCCAGATGTGGGGCTTGATCCCAGGATCCCAGGATCATGACCTGAGCCAAAGGCAGATGCTTAATGACTGAGTCACCGAGGTGCCCCTAAGATTTTAGTTTTAAGCAATCTCCACATCCACCATTGGGCTCGCACTCAACAATCCCAAAACCTAGAGTCATGTGCTTTACCGACTGAGCCAGCCAGGCACCCCCAAAAGTTTTTAGTTTGATAGGATCACTCCATGTTCCTCTCCCTTTATCCTCATAATGACGTTGAAGGGAAGATGCTGCATTTTTTACCTCTCAGAAATCTGGGATCTGCCTAGAGATAAACCTGGTAAAATTGCACCTCCATCCCTAAGGCCTAGGGCATTTGACCACACCAACAATCCATATCCCAGCTGAAGTAGCAAATCCAGTTGAAATTTAAGTCAGGTGTCCCACATCCTTCACAGACCAGATTCTGGAGATGGCCCCAACTTGCTAATCTGAAATAAAGTCACTTAGGTCAGAAGGAGAAACTTAAGAGAATGAGTATGCCACAATTTGACTCAACTGAATGGAGCTAGGCTCAATTCTGTGTTGTTTTTGTGCTTCGTTTCCTTTTTTTGAAAAATGGTTTTTCAATTGTAGTTAAAAAGAAAAACCCTGAGTAACTTTAGATCAGTAATTATGGATTGTACTAAGGTGTAGACCCTGAACATTTGCTTAAGATGGAGGGAGGATTAGGAAGGGACAGTCCTGTGGGGTTAACAAAAGCATTTCCCATACCCTCCAGAACCAATGTTCTCATCCAGAGAGCCTGAAAAAAATGGCCCCTCAATTAAGATTAATATCACAGCACATAAAGGATAATGATTTCATTGAATATTTAATTGTAAGGAAGCTCCTCTCTGGTTGAGAACACCTTCTCAATCTCATAAAGATGTTGACGTTAGAGAGTGGGACAAGAAAAAGTACAGAATAGACCAGTTTATAAGAGCAGAGTGAAGAGGATCCTTATCATCTTGTGAAGTTGGAGAGGAAATCCAAGAAATAGGAGCTAGTGGTTGGGTTTAAAAGTATTGTGTGTGTTTTTATAAAACCTTCAAATTAGATCATAGATCATAAAAGATCTTATTTTAGTTGTCTGGGAAGTCATTTGCATCCATTCCCTTGACTTGGGAATCATTCTGGAAGCTTTTTTTCTAGTTTTGTATATCCAGTTGTCTCCCTTTGAATTTTTAGGTAAGTGGTATATGATGAAGATTTACCTTCTTAGCCACATTTGTAGTTCTTTCTCTGTACCTCACACTCATTTTGTTTTCAGAAATGTGACCATATTTTGTTTTCCTTGAGCCATTTTATCCTGTGTTCTACACTCAGCAAGCCCTCTTGCTCAACTCTAGACCCCCAAAATTAAAACCAGAAATAGACAAGACTGCTTAACTCATGCTCTAGCTAAAACCCAGTGTGCTCATTTCTTACTGCACTTTCTTGAGGCATTGACAAAGACGTTTTGCAATGACCAGAACATTCCAACCCCCAGACCAGAAAAACCCTGATAGCAACAGAATGCCTAGAAGACCACCCCCACACGTCTCCTTCCCTGCCCATGACCACGGGCTGAACACATACCGGCCCCCACCTTGATCACTCGCCCCCTGCCTACTCACTTATGTGTACTCCCTGAACCTCTCTCCTGTAACACTCTGGGTGTCCATCTTGCCAGTGGAGAAGTTGGTTGTGCCATCTCCCCCAGCTGCTGGCACTGGAAATAAGTTTCTTCCTTTCTCTTTTCCAAACCCTCATCTGGGGGGGGGAGGAGCAAGATGGCAGAGGAGTAGGAGATCTAAATTTCGTCTGGTCCCAGGAATTCAGCTAGATAGTTATCAAACCATTCAGAACACCACAAACCCTCATCTCTTGAGTTACTGGCTTCTCTTGCGACGAGTTTACCTGAGTTCATTCAGCAACAGTGTTGGCACACCCCGCCAGGAGCTATACTCTCGATTTGTTCAGTCCCCTGCAGGTTTCTGGGACAGAGCAGTTGGCCTTGGCAGCGCAAGGGCTCACCCGCTCATTTCCTGAGTTAGCAGCTGTGATCGCTCATTCCGTAACACTACTTTCATATTTCATACTGACACAGTATTAAAAAGAATAATTTTCTATAACAAGTTTATTCAAAGACTTCTAGTTCTTATTTTCTTTGCATCTAATCTGTAAATAAGTCAAACATTCCGGAGTTTTCATTTTGCTGGAGCTTAATATCAAGTCTCTTAGTGCTAGTGAGAGATCTGTGCCCCTGACCGTAGATTTTTGACTCCACCATTTACCTTCCCCGAATTTTAACTAGGATTCAACTTAATCATGAATCATGATCATCAATTGTGACTAATATTTGTTGAAAACCCGATATCTGCCAGACACTATACTTGTTGGAAGAGGCAATCTGCCAGGCACTCTGCTCTGTGCATGCCTGTGTGTTTTTGCTAAGAATGCAAGGTTCTGACCCCTCTTTAGCCAGGCCATTTCAGAGTTGTGTTAGCAGCAAGTAACCTTGAGGTATGAGCAATGTCTCCCCCTGGACAAACAGCAAGCTTGCTTCTGCTTACAAGAAAGTGATAAATCCCCACACTTAGTGTTCCTCTCCACTAATTCAACCTAATGTGTGTGCAGGTGTCTATCACAGGCCTTGTGTTGCCCCCATGAGACTTGGGGGACCTAGAGAACCAGTGCAAATGAGCATGAGGCTCTGGCTACTGCTTTTGCTGTGAGTCCTAAAGTTCTATGTTTCTGGCCCAGGAGTCCATGTCTTTTGCCAGCCTCCTGTGGCAGGCTAACTTGTTAGCTCATAAGTAGAGTACCATTACAGACCCAGCCTGCAGAGTTCCTGACAAAGTTTTGTATGTTGACTATCACATTTAATCCTCGCAAAGCCCCTGTGAAATCCTTACTCTCCGCCCCCCCCTCCCCTCCCCCCCCCCCCCGCCCACCACTGCCTTTTCTGGTTATCACACTATCCTTCATCACTAAGTCTGGATCCCACTGTCAGTTCTCTTGTTAGTACCTCTACTCCTTATGCTTTCCCTGCAACCACCAGGTAAAACCCACAAAGCAGACCAATCCCAGTTAACCTTCTCTACACCTGTGCTGTAGAGAGCAGCCCCTCCATCGTAGTCACTGTGATTCACAACACACAGCCTCAGCTGAGCCATCTATGCCCTCTCTTTGCTTATCTCTGGTGTCTTCACCTCCCATTCGCCTCGGAGGCCAAACTTCACTCTTTCCTCAAAGGGCCTCCTCTATCTCCTTGACTTCAGTGTCCTATTTCATAGAAAGCATAGAAATTCTCCGGGAGTAACTCCATCAACTCCCCTATACACAGACCCTTAATGGTGTTTTTATGGACATGGCCCCCATAACCTCTTTCCTTAAAAACCCCAACTGTTCAAGTCAAATGTGTCCCTTCCCAACCCATGCCTTTGATATTTTCAAGCAGTCCAATTATGCTTGTATTCCCCTCAGCCATAAACATTCTCGAATGTCTAGCAAGACCAAAACCTTTCCTCAAGACTCCCCCAGGATGTTGTATACCTGAAACTAATGTAACATTGTGTGTCAACTATACTTCAATTAAAAAAAAAAAAAAAACGAAACTCCCCTAGGATCTCTCCCTCTGTTTCTCTCCTTTCCACAGCCAACATTGCTCCTCCCCACTTCCACTCCTCCTCTGGGCTTCCCATCCATTGCATCACAGAAGTGCTCTAGCAAAATTCAACTAAGATCTGCTAACTGCCCAATCCAGTGGATCACTTTCTTCTCCACACATCTGAGTCAGAGACAAAAGTTGACCAGGACCAGGGAAGAGCAGGGCTGTGTGGTTCTGTCCTGGTTGAGGGCAGCCAGGTGAAGGTAACCTCTCAGAGAGTAGCCGTGAGAATCGATATCCTATTCTCATGTTCCTCTGTCCTTACCTGGTACAGGTGCTCTGCATTGGTTGGTCCTAACTGAAAACAAGGGAACTCTACAGATGCAATTCCTACAAGCCACGCTCCAGAGCAGGTAGGGAATGGGTGATGGTTGGCTGAGAGGGCAGGGGGAGAGCAAACCGTACAACCTGGCACAGCGCGCTCTCTGAGAAGATCGTCACAATAGTTTTTCAAATCTTTAGTAAACAACCTAAATTCTTGTCTTGGAGACAAGAAAAGAGAAGGCAGCATATATGGCAATCAAAACATGGCACAGAACCTAAAGTTACAGATGAAATAAATGGTTTTAGATTTCTCCACGAACACAGGCAAGAGCACCACTTACATTTTAAGATGTTTTCAAATCGTGCAATAGAAGTGTTATTCTTAAATGATCATAAGATGCCAAGATTAACTCCGGTAGGAGTTGACATTTGAAGAGGCTAGTGAATTAATAGGTTATTTGTAATAAATGACTATGAAATGGGATTTGTTGGATAATTTGCTATGTAGAGAAGAATAGAGCAAAATCTTTTTGGTTTGAAGTTAACTCACTTGGGTCATTTGGGGATATTTTCATTGTGTGCTTGTGTATCCTGGGGTAGTGTAGAGATAGCATTGAAATCACCATTTTAATTTTCTTAAAAACTTAGAAATTTATCTTAAAGTGTAAGAATCAAATATTCCTTGGCTCCATGACTTCCCTTGGCTGTACTCCGTATTTAATCATTTGGCAACTTCTTTCTCCATGATGTCTGCCAAGGACAGATACCAAATGTAAGAGTGGAAAAGACCTTGAAGATTACTGAGTTTGACCCCAAGATTTTATAGATGAAGCTAAGATCCAGAGATGCCGCAGGAATTACACAAGGCCAAGCTGCAATTGTTAAGAGAGATTAAACAAGAATTCGAGTTCCAGTAACACTTAATAATACGTTTGCTGTCGTTACTACATCTCCAACTTTGCATGGGGCCACTCAAAATGTGGAGCAAATCTTCCCTTAAATGTTGATGCATTGCCCAGAGCTTCATTCAGCTAGAAGCATCATAGAGAGGTGCCCACAGCACAGTGCTAGCAATCAAGCACCTGTGTCAGAACTGGTCTCTGACCCAACAGAATGTGAGCCCTTGGGCAAGCTCTTTTTTCCATCTGGGCCTAAATTTTTTCTTCTGAAAAAAAAGTGGTGGAGAGGGGAGGGGTAGAGGAAAGCTAGAACAAAAGATTTCCAAGGCCTCATTCGTATCTAATTTTGTATAAGTGCATAAACTAAAACTTGGGTAACTGCTGTGGAAATCGGCTTTATGAAAACGATGTGGTTGTCTTATATCTGGAGGGCATTTTAAATCTCTCTGCAGATAATTCAAGGAGATTTCTAAGAATTACAATTTATCATCTAAGTAACTTACATTCTTATTTCTAAAAGAGGGACACTTATTGGACTTTAAAAACATCAGATTGGGTTCACCAAAGATACATCCACTTCCAAAATAAACACATTTTTCACTCAGATTTTAGTGACCCCGCCGCACCAGGTCTAAGAGAGAAGGAACTGGCTCTGAATTAATTATGTCTATTTTCCCATTTAAAATATTTGGAGGAAAATGGTAGAAAGAATTTTGTGTCCAGGTCCTCCAAGAAGCAGACACTAAATTGTGATTAAACATGCAAAAATGTTAATAGGTGACATGCCTGTGAGAGAAAATGGGGCGGGAGCCAGAAAAGTCTGGGAGAACAATCAGACTATGATGCCAGTTTGACCACAACTAAAGGAATAGGGGAAGGAAAGTTGGGTGAAAGGATCCTAGACTGCCAGGCAGCCCAAGGGAGGTTCTGCAAGGACATCTGGAGTCCTTGAACCAACCTTGGCCATCAGAATAGTCCTATCTCCAGGAACAGACTTGCCTTAGTATCCCTCTTATGTGCAGGAAAAGGGGATAGAGTATGGAAAAATGTTCAGAGCTTGGGTCCTTGATTTATTAAGTTTGCTTAATTAACGTCTTTGAGACACATTCTCAAGGCCTCCACAAATTTTTATTCCTTTGACTTTACAGTATCTCAGGAAGTGTTAGCTCTAGGTCCCAGTCATTTTCCTGGCCTTCTCCTATAGGTGTGCATGAAAATAAAAATATGAATTCTAATTCCATAATTTCCACTTAACCTTCTGGAATTAACGTTTTCCACATGTAATGTTGACTCTCCTCATTGGTCTTTTTTTTTTTTTTAATTACTATAAATCATGATTGAAAGAAATTTGTAGAAAAATTCTTTAAGAATGGGTGATGCTGGGGCGCCTGGGTGGCTTAGTTGGTTAAGCGTCTGCCTTCTGCTCAGGTCATAGTCCTGGGGTCCTGGGGTCCTGGGATCAAGCCCTGCATCGGGCTCCCTGCTCAGCAGGGAGTCTGCTTCTCCCTCTCCCTGCCTCCCGCTTGTGCTCTCTCTCTTTCTCTCTCTCTCTTTCTCAAATAAATAAATAAAATCTTTACAAAAAAAAATTCTGTGTTTAAAAAAAAGAATGGGTGATGCTACAGAAATTGTCACAAATATAGTCTTGTTTATTTCGTGAGTTAGAAGGGAGTGAGTATGAAGATAATATTTTCTTTCATGTCTTGAGAGCTGGGCCTGGCCTGATATTTGCTGACAGTCCCAAATTCTAGGAGCAGAGACTCCTGGGAATGGTTGGAAAGAACACTGTCCATACTTATGGAACACTTCACATATCTACACTTCTGCCCACCCATCCCCAAGTGCCAGTTCCAGTTCTCTTCATAATAGAAGCCTTGTCTAAAGGGTGTTAGAGCCTCTTATCTAGACTTCTACTGTTCTCGTGCCATATCCCTTCCATTCTCCTCATATTGGAGAACTTATTGCTAATTGCAGGAAATGTGCATGTTCTCATGCAGTTAGTCATGTTCATATTTGAAATCTAGAATCCTCATCTGTATTTAGAGAAGGTTGCTTTCCCCCAGTTGTTCTGTTAAATGCCTGCTGTCAGTTTTTTGTCACTAGGGAAATGTTTTGCAAATGGATATAAGCCAATTTAGTCATGCAAACTCTCCTAGGTTCTTTTTAGCAGCAACAACAACAACAAAAATAGTAGTCACTAAAAAGTTGGAGGTGGCCATGGATTAGCAATCCTCAGTGGCTGGAAACAGAACGAATTTGGAATCAAGTCTTGAGTTGGATTCTTATACTCTTTGTTCATGTATGAAGAGGGAGTAGATTAAAAATATTTTGGCCATTCTGCAAAATTGCATACCCTTAATTTCGCCAGTAAGAGCCAGCTTCCTAACTTTCAAACATATTAACTAGTCATGAATTTTGTAGATAAAACTCATTTTGAAATTCATTTCGTTACCCAAGCTTCTGGTATTGATTAATAGATAAGAGAAGCGCATGTAATTGTTGCCTTTAAAGATTTTTATTTATTTATTTGACAGAGAGACATTGAGAGAGGGAACACAAGCAGGGGGAGTGGGAGAGGGAGAAGCAGGCTCCCGCCTGATGTGGGACTCAATCCCAGGACCCTGGGATCATGACCTGAGCCGAAGGCAGACACTTAACGACTGAGCCACCCAGGCACCCGTAATTGTTGCCTTTAGAGCATAGGCTTTCTGATTCAATGCTGCCTGACTCTCAAGGCCAGCTACATTCATGGTCTGGGCTGCAGCTTAACCTCATCTATACTGACACATAATATCACACTACCTATGCTGAAGTGTCTCAAGGATATTTACAGACACTATAATCGGATGATTTCTCTTTCTCTTTATGAGATCCGAGGGCTCTTCTTTCTGTCAGCACCTCTGCCCACTGCAAGGATATGAATTGGCCCTTAATATACTCTGGCTGTTGATGAGAAATGCCTCTCTTCCCTGGCCACCCCATCTCCCCCCATCTCTTTCTTCCTCCCAGCACCACTCTGAGCAAAGCCGGGAATTTCCACCTCAAGGCCTTTGTCCTTGCTCTTCTCTCTTCTTGGAATGCTTTTCCCTTGGCTCCTTGCTTGCCTAGCTCTGTCTCATCCTTTAGTTCTCAATTCTAATGTCATCCCAGCAGAGAAACCTTTCCAGTGTACCGCATCTAATTCAGCTGACCCTTCTCCCCTGGTACTTTTTATGACATCACCCAGAGCATTTCCTGTGTATCACCCTTCATATCTGTTTTAATTTTTTTGTTATCTGTTGCCTTGTTAATACTTTGTTGTTCTAGTCTTATTCATTGTCTTGTTTTCTTTTAAAGGCCAAGAGGTCAGCTGCCTTGTTTACCACTGTCTCCTTGGTAACTAGTATAGTCCTTGCACATAGTAGATGTCCATTAAACGTTTGCTGAAAGAACATATATGACCTCATCCCTGGGCAAGGGAGATGGATTGTATGATCCTTCCCCTGTAACACTATTAAACGCTTTGGCTTAGCGGAGCCAGAGTTCTCCTATTCATTCATTTCAGGTCACAAAGGCATCTTTGGGGGTCTTCAAAACCACAACCATTCCTTTACATATCACTAGATCCTTCAACCCTCAGTCCTAACAACCTCTCTCCCCTTTCTGCCTGCAAGAGTAGGACCACTCAGCCTGGCGTGTGGTGGCTTGTGCAGGTCTTACTCCACCGTCCATTAGGTTTTTGTGCCAGTTACAGATGATTGACTCCACATTCATCCTTTCTGCCTGTTCTGTGAAAATGGATCATGGCTCCTCAAACATTTTTCCTCCACCAGTTGGCTGAGTGTTAAGCTTTGTTAACAGAGGACACTGGAGAGACATCACAGGAGGAAAGGATTTTGCATCCTGGTTTGCTATACACAGATTCACTAGACCCAAGTAACCTTGTAGAATGTCTGTTTATCCCAATGCTGTAAACAGAAGAATAAATATTATAGTATTATATATATATGTATATATATATAAATAATACAGTATATTATAGTAGAACAGCACTGAGTTCCTAGTCTTAATCTTATTATAGGAATTCAGCACTCCGATAGGACTGTCTCGTCAGGGTGACCTTGTGCCAAATTATTTGCTAACAGAGTTTCTTCTAACTTGTCAAAATCTATTGATGTTGTGGCAGGGGATGTGTGCTCCTGGTTCTTCTA